CCCCCCCCCCGGCCTTCATGTATCTGTGAGTCTCTCCATTTGAAAGGCCACTGCTTTCCTCTGTGGACCAATCACGCCACCGCACCCCCTTGCCTTTGGTGATCCCACAGTACCGTGATACTCCCTAACTACGCTCTTCATCTCACTCATTCCTCTTCCTCACCCCCCAGTGGGGGAGGCACTAAGCTGAGGCCCAGGTCTTGGGGCTCTGCTCTGCTCCAGGTTTACTGCTTCCATGTCAGGGCCTTTGTATTAATGGTTGTCAACCTTTCCTCCTCTGTCCTAATGGGTGTTTCCCAGTGACCTCATATTCAACATGTTGAAAATTAACTTAATCTGCTCTGAAATTTCTGCCACTAGTTTCCTCTCCCAACTTCCCCATATCTAGCAATGCCAACCCCTCTGTTCATTCTCTTTGGCTCAAAATCTCCATGGTTATCTTTGCCTCTTCTGTTCTCTCTACCCAATGTATTATTAATCACCAAGTCTGTTTCATTTTTCCTTCAGTATCTTTTATATCAATCTATTTCAGTTGCTGCCACCCTAATCTGGGTCTCTATTAACCTTTTATCTGGACTATTAGAACAATCTTCAAGTTTCTAGCAACCCAGTTTCAGAACTACCTTTAGCTAAGACTCTGAGTGAACTGTCTCAGACCCTTGGTCTTTTATCTCTAAAATGGGAAGAACACCAGCATTATCAACGAGAACATACATATACATGAACAAGCTCTGAAAACACTTATAATGAGAAACTTAACAGGGTCACACTCATTTCCTGGTATATTTGCACCATCAAGTTTTACTCTTATTTACTCCAATTCTGGTCATCTTCACAGTTTAGTACTAGAGTTCACATTACACTCCAACATGCATGTGCCTTGGTCTTATTTCCCTAATTAGACTGTAAAGATCAAGATGTATTATAAAATAACTCCCTGTCCAGCACAGTGCTATTGTTGATAAAGATACTGGACTTTAATATTACAGCATAAAAGAAGCATTGCGATCATATGAATGCAAATTCTATTTTTTATTCACACCAAAAAATCTCTAAAATATTGGTATTTATTCCTATGTACACCAAAATAATTTTGCTCAGTGTTCATAGCTCTGATCTTGTTCCGGTGCTAACTTTTCATTTAACAAAATGAAATCTTACTATGTGAAGGGAAAAAGTAAAGGCCTGCCTAAATTAGTATAAATTAAAATTAGAGAATATCCTTAAATGAGTAGAGGTTTCAAGGACACATCTAAGCAAACAGAAGTCAAGCGCTGCCTACTAAATGTCCCCTAACTTATAAACAGATGAGAACAGCAGTGAAACTGGTGCACCGAGTAGCAGTCCCAAGCAGTTAGCGCTATTACATTGTATTGAAAGAAGACAACGGTCCCTTCACACAGTTCTAGTTATGATTAAATTGCTTATTATGGCCATTTCCCCCTAAGAATAGTACAGTGGTTCAATGTCAGCCCAGCCCCATTCCAAACTGGGGAAATCCAAATATCCAAGGCTTTAAAGAACAAATGTTATCTATTTTAGAATTTAACAGTCTCAATTCAAAGTCTCAAAATAAACTTTTTGTAAAAACAAAGATTTTCAGTTTCTCCATATTTTTAGGGTGAAAAAAAATTAGTCTTCGGTTGACATTTTTCAAGTTTAAGATTATTACAACGGTACCTTTTCTTACAGAAGTTTAATAAATGTTTAGAAAAGTCAGTCCAGTCCCCGAAGTTAAGTGGGGGGTTGGGGGTCAGAAACCATCTCTCTATGTCCTCCTCAGCAAAATGACATCATTACATATCTAAGTTTAATGACAAAAATGAAAAAGTTCAGATGCTATAATCTTACCGACAGGTATAAGTCCTCTAGTGAAGTTTAGGCATTAACTGAAAACTCGAGAAAGGCTCTTAAAAATATCTTTTAAAATAAGATGTATGGGGAGAAAAAAGTGATTATATATTCTTGTTGGAGGCTTTTAAAAAAATCTACACAAGAAGTGCATGCTGTAAAAGATTTTAAATAATTTAGATGGATACATGGAGGCTTTGCTTCCCTCTCTCCTGTCCCTCCATTTCAGGGGTCACCCACTGTCAGTGTGATAGACACAATCCCAGCAGCCTTTGGGTGGCCTCTTTGAGTATATAAGTGTGTGTGTGAGTGAGTGTGTTTAAATGTGGCCACACCTGCAAATTACTCTGCTACTTGTCTTTTATTTTCCTTAAAAACAAATCTTAAGAGATATAAGAAGGTAAAATAAAGTATTCTCTTCCATGGCTAATATCCCTTAGTGTGGATATGTTAGAACTATTCAGCCATTCTCCATACTAATGGGGACTTTTAGGTTATTTCTAATTGGTCACTTTTACAGACAACACTGGAATGAACATCTTTATACATTTTCTCAAAGTTTGGTCTGCGGGCTCTTGGGAGCCCCTCTGGCTCCATGTCCCCACTTTTGCAGGGGGGTTCCAGGATGGCAAAACTATTTTTATATAAGATTTTTTTTTTGCCTTCCCATTGTGTTGCCATGAAATGGTGGGTAAAACTACAGTGCCATGAATCAAGGTAGTGCAGGGTACCAAACTGTGCTAAAGTCACCGGATTCATCACTGTCGCGGGGTTAAAGTAAAAAATGCCAGTTTCCCCCAGGATTGTTCTTGATGAAGCAGTTAAATATGATTAACGCTTGACCCTTGAACACACACTTTTTCTTTCGTGTGATGAAGTGGAAACGCACATAACTGGATTCTCATGCCTGCCTCTGCGCCCAGTCTGCTGTAATGTTACTGCGGCTGAAGTACATGCAGAAACTGCGGCTTTGCGAGTGCACAGCTGGGAAAGGGAAGGGGACTCGAAGCCTTTTCACTTCTGCTGCATATGGGAGGACAGTCACCTCAAGGAAAAGTCCTTGTGCAATTTCAGCTGAGTTGAGCGACCTTCATTTTCATGGATTTCCTTGAAAGAACCACTGACAGATGAACTACGGTTACTGAGACTTGTGTATTTGGCAGGTATTTTCTCACTATGAACACAGTGAGCCTGTCATTTCAAGGAAAATAACTGGAGGTATTTGTTGCCAATAAAAAAATTTGAAGTGAAAGAATTGTGGACAGCTTCCCAATAGTTAAAGACTGTTCTAATGAGATTAGTGGTGATCTTAAGAAATGTGAGTTTTTGATATTGTTGAGTTAAATATATCAACATTCGGAAGATCTGCTTAAATCAGTAAACCATTCTTTTCCAAATGACCAATGCATGGTGTTACAAAATCAGGAATGAGTAAAAGATCCCATCAGAGTGAAAGGCAGACCAGTGGATTTTAATGCAAGAGAGTATGAAAAATTCTTCAATATGGCTTCAGATTCTACATTCATAAAACTACTACAAGCCGAGTTTTGGTGTAGCATCAAAAAAGTATATCTACAATTATCTGAAAAGGCTATTAAAATACTTCTCCACTTTCCACCTACATACCTGTGTGAGGCTAGATTTTCTTCATATACTTCAACCAAACAACATATTGCAATAGACTGAAAGAGGGAGTAGACACCAGAATCCAGCTATTTTCTATTATGCCTGATATTAAAGAGATTTGCAAAAACATAAAACAATACTACTCTTCTCCTATTTTTATTCTGGAAAATAGTTATTTCTCATAAAGAATGTCATTTATGCTAAAACTTATTTAAGATTTAACAAAATTTTTCAGTTTGAATTCCTAATATGGTAAATATTAGTAGCTATAACTCACAAAGACAAAAGCTTTTTGGGGTCCTCAATAAATTTTCAGTGTAAAGGGAGCTTGAGACCAAATATGTTTGAAAACTGTTGCTGCCCATAAATCTTTGCATGTGAGTCTATTTTTATAGGTCAGGGTTCAGGTGTAGAACTGCCAGGTAAAAAGGTATGTACATTTAAAATCAATCAATATCCTGCCAAATACTGCCTTTCAAAGAGCTTTGCCACCTGGGACTCCCACCAAATGCAAGAGCTCATGGACCTGCGCACGGGCAGGGGCTGCTGGCACGATGAACCTTTTAGATTTTGTGGTTCATCTTACTAAGGTGGGTCTCACAGGAATTGTTTCAGGGGTACTCCTCTAATCCATCTCAAATAAGAATGAACTAAGAAATTTTAAATTTACATTAATTACCCAGGAAACCTGGGTTGTACCCAACTTACAAAAAATCATCCCAATAACAACTTGTGAACGAATGTCTGGAACACAGACCTCATAGAAACAATGGCACTTGAGTTCAGCGGTCTCAACATTTAAAACCAATGTTTTAAATTCTAGAACTGCACTACACTGGAAAAAATATTGACAACACAGTTTCTATCAGAAAAAGCACTTTGTGTCCTAGTTGGAATACTGGGAACTCTACTATCCATCCATCCACTCTATTCCAAAAGTGATCTCACTCTGTCCTTGAAATCCCACCATTTAGAAAGGGGTTCCTTCAACAACCTTCCCACTTGCAGGGTTCTCACATGGGTTCATACTCTCCAGTGGGTGGAGTGCCACATCATGGAGCTTGGAGGCCAAAAGAAAAGTCACCGTATCTCCAAAGTGGGGTGGTGGTGATGGTGCTGCTGGGAGGAGGAGGGGGGGGTTAGGGTGCTGCTGCTGGGAGGAGGGGTGTGTGTGTGTGTGTGTGTGTGTGTCTGTGTCTGTGTCAGAGCAGAGAGAGTGAGTTAGGTACTAGTGAGTATAGAAGTCCAGAATTTCCTAGAGTGTGTCATTGGCAAGGTGAGGGATGGAGAGATGGAGAAGCACAACTGGGTGTGTGATTTAAGCACTAGTGGCTCTGCTAAGGACTGTGTGCCCTAGACAGAGAAAATGGATCATTCCTAAGAGCACCAAGTTTCCCCACTACAACGTGGACATAATAATAGTACCCTCCCCCTACAGAAAGTTGCAGGAATTTAACTGAGGTTATTTACATAAAGGGCCTTGAACAAAACAGCAAAACTGTAATTGTTATATGTCAGTGGTAAGGTACAAGTTTATAGATGTATTTATAAAATGAAGGAGCTGGATGAGACGATCTAAAGGCCATTTTAGGTTGACATATTCTATGACAAACCATAGAAATACCAGGGAAAAATAGATCTAAAAAGATATAACCATTCAGAAAAGATAATTTGCTAACACAAAAGTAAAAACAAAAAGGGGGAAAGGAAAAAAATTTTCTTTCAAAATTTTTGTAGGAAAATAACTAAAATTAAAAGGTAAACAAAAGACTATAAAAATATTTGCAGCAAATAGGGCAGATGAAGATTAATATCCTTGTTACACAAGAGGGCACATATATCTATGAAGGAGAAAAGTAAGGTCCCAATAGGTAAATATGTGAAGGACATTAACAGATAATGTAGTTGCCACTATTTACAAAACAGAAAAACATTTTGATCTCAGTAATCAACAATGAGATTCCATTGATACTCTATCAAATTGGCAAAGAAGTAAAATATCTGATTCTCAGATATGCTGGTAGCAGCTCTTTGTACAATAATCAAGTCATAAAAATTTGACCCCCAAATTATTCCAAGAAAATAGTAAATGTGGAAAATGCAGATAGGTATCTACAAATGCAGACAGGCAATATGGGGGGGGTCGGGCATGGGGGGAAGAACTTCAATATTTGATGCTAAGGAGATTGTCAAATAAAAAAAATCAACCTGATAACAGCAACGTGGAAAATTTCTTGCAAGAATATCACAGGAAAACCAATGACATGCAAAACTGCTTATGAGCTCTGATTATGTAAAAATAAAAATATGCACAAGGAGGAAAAAACGTCATCAGAGCTAAAGGTGGTTGTGCACATGTGACTTTGGCTCAGCTTTGGGGTCAGAGTGACAGAGTATCAAACACTGGTTCCAGACTCCCAAGATGAGTCACCAAGAACAAGGAGTCTTTCTGAATCTTAATTTCTCCAGGTATAATTATACAGGCTGCTGTAAGGACACAATGATACAAGCTGACTAAAGGGCTAGCACAGGGTCAAAGCTATATAACAGGTAATTTCATTTTATATCGGTAGTGTGGTTACACTGCCTTTATTGTGAATATCTTAAAAACAAGAATGCTTAATTATCTATTATGTAGGGAACTGCTTAAATAGACACACTTCTTAAAATGAGAGCTCTATTCTCCCTTTAAATTTTCATTTACTTCATTTTCAGAAATGAATCAAGTGTGAAAACAGCATTTCTGTTAATCCATATATAACATTTAAAAACTGTTCTGTCTTATCTGCTTCATAACTTTTAAAACAATAAGTGTTTGCAAAAGATTACATTTGTACATTAGCACATCCAACTCAACAGATGCCACAGGTAAGGGTCCCAGATATAAGACACGTCCTGTAGTGTCTGTGTTTTCTCTGTTGAGATCCTGTACAATCTTGTACATTCTGAGTCATCTAATGGCTTTTGAGGATACACACCCTGATCAAGTACAGATAGGAGCAGTGTTCTTGCTGGTTCACACCACCAATTAAAAATAGATTTAGACATTCAAATTTCCTTCCTATCATAGATTCCTTCATAACACAGAACTGGACATCCAAGTTCCTTCATGCAACTGAATGGATTTCCATGCCCTCACCCCTGTGAGGTCATGATTACACTCCAAAGTGTGTATTTTTAAGCACACAGAATTATTATAAAAGGATGATACCACTACTTTGTTACTTTCTTTTTCCAAACGTTTTATTCATTACCTTATGAAATAAAGGCTACCAGTATCTTTTAGATAGAACATTTATTTAGAAGTAGCCAAATGTCAGATGACACTTTTTCTTTCCATTTACCTTTCACCAGCCAAACCTTGATGGCATGCTTCATTAAAAAAACAAAACACCCCAAAACCTACATTTTTAAAAACTCTTATTTAACAGCTCGCTATGATCTGATTCATAATAAAGAACACACTTTTGTTTTGAATATCTTGTTACAGTGACAGAAAGACAGCTTAATCAATCAAAGATGCAAACAAGACTGCCGAAAATATAGATATACGGCTTTTGAGCATCTGAGTTACATGGTATAGGGTCAAAAGTGACTTTGCTGGAAAGCCAGGGTTACGTTTTTGCAATTTGGCACCAGCTCCAGAGTTGTAACTTTGGAAGCTTTTGCAAGAGTTTGAAGTCAAAGAAAGAAGGAAAGAAAGAACCTACGGGAAGAGGGCTATGATTTAAGGTCAAGAAATCAGTGGCTGCTGATTTAATCCCCACATTCCACGTCTGCCATTACCAGTTTGTCTTTCTGCCGTTCACCATGGATGAGAAAGCCGCTGCGTCCATTGCCTTCGGGGTGCATGACCTTACAGACCCCCACGCGACTGATCCCGCCTCCTTCCTGTGGGAACCATCCCCCGCTGGAGTCATCTCTGGTCATAACCACAGCCTTGACACGCACAATATAGCTGTCACTAAAACGACAACAAGAAGAATGGGGCATGACAATGGTCTGGTAGCTGCAGGACACGTTTCACAAAGCAAGATGCCCGACCACCAGCCAGCGTTTGCTGGACTTGTCAAAAGGAAATCTATGCCTGGCAGCCACCTTCAAAGACAGCCCTACTTTTAGGAAAAAAACAAAAACACTTAAATTCAATATAAAAGTACATTTAAAGAAAGATGCCCAGTAACTAAAAATATTTGTGAGTCTTTGAAGATGTATGCAGGCATACCATTCTCCAGTTCCTAGGTGGTATCAACGATAAAACAAACAGCTGATCTCTATGGTTTGGTATCTGTAAGTCAGGAAAGACAAATCTATTAACTTAAAAGGATATTATGGTTTCAACCCTTAAAACTTAATTTGTAATGAATGAACAAGGTTTAACATTTTATAAAGCTAATAGTCCTCCGATTTAGCATAACAATAGAACCATTTCCAAATCACAAATTCACCATGCAATCACTTACAGGGGTGGGAAATATTTCAATTTAAGTGCCCTTTACACAGGTGTAACCTTTTGTTTGATTCTGTTCTTTCCAGTCTAAATTTCAATTCTGCAGTAAGTTCTTTTGCACATTCGCCAAACATCCTCTTTTCTCCTTCAGAGACCAACTTTAGCTTCTTTTCATTCTCAGTCACTTTACGGGAAATTTATTTGGATTTTCAGCAAGACCATTAAATTCTCACTTGCTGCTCTCTTTCTTTGGAAAGAATTCATTTTTTACTCATTCAAACATATATCCCCATCTTCCATATGCCAGGCACTGTGCCAGATTCCAGGGACGCAAAGATGCAGGGGAACACAGAGCGCCCCCTTTCTGCCTTCCAGGCCCAGGGCTCAGAGCCTGGCCATGCAGCCTGCAACCCACCGCGCAGGCCTTGTGGACAGTCCCTCTGCCCCACGTCCCTGATCACCTCACTCATCCCCAAAGGCAGAGCCACCTGGAGTTTCCATGACTCCCTACAGCTTACCCTCTACTGTGCCCCAACTCCTCACTGTGCCCACCAGACTCAAGGTCCCACACCCCCCTCGCCATCCTATCCCTTCCTCAGACTTTGTTTTTTGGTGTCGTAAAAAATACATAATGTAAAATTTACCGTTTTAGCCATTTTAAGTGTACAATTCCATGGCATTCAGCACATTACATTTTTCTGCAACCATCCCCACCATCCACGTCCAGAACCTCTTTCATCTTCCCAGACTAAAGATCCTTCCTCAGTAAACAGGAACTCCTCACCCTCCCCTCTCCCAGCCATTCCATCCAGATCCCTCATAAGCTCCTTTCACTTTCTTAACCTAAATGCAGAGGTGCGCCGGGCTGAGCCTCTGTGGCCTCGCTCTCTCATCCCTCCCCACTAAGCCTAGACAGGAGACAGGGTGGTCACCTCTGCTGCAGGCCAGTGGGCTCTGTCCAGATCCTCTGAAGCTCCCAAGTCTGACCACACCTCCGCTACCCTTCAATCTTCCACAGGCCTCTGGTCACTCCCCAGCATTCCGTGAGACATTAGCAAGTCTGCTCACTGTCCATCTCTCCACCACGATCCCAGTCATGACTCTTTGTAATTTCATTCTTCACCCAGCGCATCCTTCCAATTCCTTGGCCTCTCAGTTTCTGGAACTCTTCTGCTCCGATGCCCTGGTCTTACATCCAACCTCAGCCACCCATGACTAGTAACACCCTTAACCTTGTCTTGACCAACATCTGCACAGCTTCCATAACCTCAATATTAAACATCCTGCTCTCCAGCCACCACCTCCAGACTCTGGTAAGTCCACCCCACTGTGCCACAACCTAGTGTAATGACCATCTTCCTCTACCACCCCCCCAACCCTGTTTCCCACCCTCCTTATACTTTCACTTGATTCTCTGCCCAACTTCAGCTCCATGATCTATTATGACACTCTTTTGCACAAAACCTTTAACACATTTATTCTCTCCTCATTGTAATTGCCTGGCAAAACCCTAACTCTGGCAAAATCCTACCATCTATTTAACTGCATGATCCCACCCAAGCTGCTGAACATGGTTAGAAGAAAAGCCCCATTCTGTTTAACTTATAGGTCTAGTTTTAAAGTCATAACCACTAACCTCAAGGGGTCCTTAAGTGCCACTGAGCATCCTGCTACGTTCCCCTAATCCATCCCCAAGATTACTGCACATGTCCTCCTACCACCTACCACTCAGATGATGGATGAGCTCACTTTAATTTCACTGAGAAAATAGACACAATCAGAAGAGACGCTGCACCTGTGCCCACCAGTATGCCTACTCCTCTGTACCAGTACTCCCTGCCTCTCCTTTGATAACTGTGGCTTAACTGTCCACAATCCAAGCCAGGGCCAACAACTGCAACTAAAGTACTTTCTAAGTGCTAACAAGGCACACATTCATGTTCTATCCAGACCTCTTCCCTGTTTCAGACCAGCAAAACCAACTGCCTACATGATTTCTCTGCTTGGGTGTCTAGTAGGCACCTCAATCAACATATTTCAGGTTGAACTCCTGATTCCCAACGTCTTCCTATCCTACTGGTTCTCCCTTTGAAATACATCCAGAATCCATTTTTTACTACCTCCCTCAACACTGCCCTGATCCCAGCTGCCATCACCTCTCAGACTATTGCAATAGCCTAACTGGCCTTCTTACTTCCGTGCTTGCCAGGTAACTCAGACAATGGCACGCTATTCAAACAAATCCTTCAATAGTTTCCTTATATTACTCTAAGTAAAAGTCAAAAGTCTAGCATTTATCTTACCAAACTCCTCCCTGCTTATTCCATGTTAGTCCCACTGTCCTTGAAGGTCCTCCACATTAAGCACACTCCTACCTCAGGGCTTTGCACATGCTATTTCCTTCACTTAATACCCCATTTCCCACTCTTCTCCCCATACATCAACTAGGCTCATTCTCAAGGTTATTTCATCATAGACGACTTCTCTGCCCACTCCTCTTAAATCTTCTCACCCTGCCGTGTCTTTCTACATGCTGCTAAGTCAACCTCTGACCTATTTGTTTGCCCACCTTCCCCAACTAGAATGTAAACTCCATGAGAGCAGGGACTTTGCCCTTTTTGTTCACTGCTATATCCCTAGAGCCTAGAGGAGTGTCTTATATATACAAGTAGTAGGCTGTGCAGTGATTGGGTTAAATACACAATATTTGTCAACAGGTTTTGAAAAAATTATTTGTAGCTAACAGAATCCCTGAGAAAATGTAAAATGTTCAATACTCTTTTGCTTGTGAGCCACAATAGCTTAACTGGGATAGGGTCAAGATTTCCTTTTCATTAAACAGGAAAAGGAAATTTTTCAAAAAATCACATGGTTTCCATCATTAATCCATTTATCTCAGGATTCAACATGCATATTCCTTTAGATCATAGAGATTAAGAACATTTCATAATATTTGTTTAGATTAGTTACAAATACCTTGAGGATATCCTTTCCCCCCCCATACCCCATTTATTCTAGAAAAAGGAAGGGTCACCAGGATGTGTGATTCTGTGGTATGAAACAGCTTTTCAAATCTTCGGTAAGTGCATATAGGTTCATCCTGACAGGAAAGCGCCAAAGTAACAAGCTCTACACATCTCTTGTTGAAACATGCTTTTACTTTTTGTGTGTTGCAGCTGTGTGCTGGTCTCCTTTCCTTTGAGGAGATTAAGTATGAAAAAGGAAGTTCGTATTACTTATGTTAGTGCCATAAACTTATTTCCAAAAAGTATTCATTTATTAGAAATTAAAAAAAAAAAAAAAAAAAAAAAAAATACCCCACCCCTTGGCTTCCAGGCTCCAGGGGCTGCTAATTTCGGCCTTTGCTTTTGGTCTGCAGCCTCCTCTTTCCTGCCCTGATTTCCTCTCACGAGCCTTCCCGAGGGCAGACTTGTCTGTGATGGGGTGTGTGTGCTGGGGCTGGAAGGACAGAAGTGCACCCCCACCCCCCCATCTCCTCTGGCAACATCTCTGACAGCCAGCACTAACTGAGGCATCTGGCTATTTAAAACAGGCGGCGGATAAAGTGTTGCACTAAGAGCTGCAAAGGCTGTCTGCATAATCCAGCTGCATGGCCACATGCCAACTGCTTCCTATCTGTGGTGTATTTACGTTCCTCAGGCACTTCACCCCACCCAGAACAGACACGACATGAACTCCACTACCAAAAGGTATAAGGGAGGAAAACTCCCTTCCCCCTCTCCTNAGGTAGATTAGTTTTCTAATGTGCACAAGGAAAATGCTAGTAAGCCTTAGAAATTTTTCAAAAAAATGTTATTGTCAAAAATAACAAAAATGCTTCTGAAAGTCTCAATGCTAAACCAGTGTAACTGATTAAGGACCTGGTAAAGTTCCAGATGTGGTCCAAACACACCAACTGAACTGAGCCCTAGTTTCTGAATTTGAGCTAAACTGCCCCAAAGAATCAATGTTATGACAAATGGTGTTTGACTCCCACCATCCAAACAATACCACATTCCTTAGGTACATTTTCAGTAAAATTGACTCTTACAAATTGGGCTGGGGATCTAACATTTAAATGTGGTTTAAGGAAAAAGTTTTGGTTCCCAACATGTGGCCTTATTTGTAAAAACAGGACTTACTGTCCTGTGATCGCTCAACATACAGAAGAGGTAGGTGGTATCCTAACACTTTCAAAGCTAAATTTTTATTGGTGGGTGGGGATGTGCTGACTCTACAGTGACACAGCAAGGTTTGGGTCTCAGGCCTTAATGTTCTCAGTTCTCTCTATATTCAAAGCAGGCTGTGTATGGGCCACGTTACAGAACTAAACAAAGGAATGGTAGGAAATGGTGCTGAGGCCACACTGTCTGTAAATAATGTTCAGAGCCAGACAGGTCAGCAGTGCCTTGACCTTCTCAGTAGCTGGAGAAGCCTCTTTTTGAGCTTCAGCTTCCTTATTTGCNAGTAACCACTTGAGTGACCTTAAGCAAAGCATTTTAGCACAGTATGAA